CCAAAAGGAAGTGCGAGCCAAGAGGATGTAATTTTTACCTCATCTAGTAGAACATGCCCACCTGAAAATTAATGGATAAATATTCCAAGAATCTATATTCAATATTAAATAGTATTCCGTTTGAAACTGCTATTGTCAACTCTGTTACAACCCCATGGCTTGTTTTCCCATCTTGCATTTGATTCCCATTCACCACCTTCGTTTTGAATTTTTAAGACTACTGTTCATAAACTCGTCTGAAAAAAAAACTTAATAAAACTATAAACAAAAAGATGCATTAAAATTAAAATAATGATAAAAATAATCAATTTTCATTTCTTTTACAGTCCTATAATTCCTATAGATTTAATAAAGTCATAAAATTTTATTTATAGAAAATTATAGATGAAGAAAAATGAATTGAAATGCATTTTCCATTCTTGCTTAATTTAAATAATTCCCCCAAATAAGACTGTATAAATACCCCTGAATTTAAAATCTTATTGTTGTTAGATATAAATACATATTTTTTGTCATGTGACAATATTGATCTTAATATCTGTGTCAAAATTCAATGAAATATGAAATAGTATATTGAGTTAAAGCTTTTAAATTAGCATACAAGTCACCCAGACAGACACTCATATTTATATCATTCGGCCAACTCTTTCAATTATGGACAATAAACATCCCAAATGTAGTCATCAGATAACAATAAACCACTACATATCGACAACAGTAATGATAAAGTAAAATGCAAAGAAAATGGGTTAAAAATACTGTGCAATGATTCATAGTTTTTAAGGGAAGATAAATGACATTCTGAGGGTTAATATGCCAGGTACCATCCAAGGCACCGTATATATTTTCTTTTTCATTACAAAATCTAAATAAGGAAGCATTTATATTATCACTGTTTTACTAATGAAAATGACTCAAAATGAATAAGAAATTTAATCACGGTTTTACCCAATTTTCTAAAAATTTTGCTTTAATTTTGAAACAAAAACAATATTATATATAAATTATCATGAAGACTAATATTCAACTTTATCTAAAAATCATTATGAACATCATATTAAACTCTACCCAATACACCTATATATTATACTATGTCAGGTTCTCTAAGGTGTGTTAAATAAAACAACATGCTACGGTAAGACCGCCCCAGGGATGTGGCCAGACACAAGACTATTATGACCCAGTACTATAGAAGAAGGGAGGATATACCAGAAAATAAACATTCACCTGTTTTTTATACCAATATGCCATAAGTAATTACATATATAACCAGTATCACTCTACAAATAAAAAGATTAGAATTGAAATAGCTAAAACTTAGCAATTGTCAGAAGAGGACCAACATAGACACCAATCCACTCAAGAGAATATAAACTCATTTACAGGCATTCATTATCAATAGGGAAAAAGAAATCACCACTGAATTCTGCTACTTGGATAGCAACCTCTCTGACAGCTGCTGAACAGATAAACAAGTGGCAAGCCAAGTCAGAAAAGCTGACATGTCCTTCAGCGGGATGGCAGATAGAATGCAACACCAATGTGGCATGACTCTACCAATCAAAGGGTAGTTCCTTGACATCAAGTCCATGACATGTCAGGGTGGTTCTGATCTGCATAAATAATGCATTTAGAGTCTTGAAAACTGGCTACAGAATAACTGAGACGTACTTCACTAAGAAGAGTCATAAGGCCAGAAATCAAATGGCAGAACCTATCTTATAATCCACTATGAAGTCATGGGGCACTGTGGTCACATTATAAAAAACACAGACTTTGGAGTCAAGAGAGACCTGGGTCCCAAACTAAGTCTGCCACTTACAAACTGGGAAATGTGGGGCAAACTGCTTGGCACTCTGAGTCTCCATTTCCTCATCTGTAAAATGGGAACAATGCCTTACCTTTCTGGCCAAAAATAAACAAGATAGCATAGATAAGATGCATGACACTTAGAAGGTCTTCAGCAAATGACAGCTATTTATATTGTGAATTATTTTATCAGCTTGGAAGTGGTATTCTCAGCAGTATATATAGTCTTAACCAGATATGGGGCAGAAATGTGATATTATGAAAGTTGCTGCAAGGTGAACAGAATTCAGACAAGTACAAAAAACAGCAGAACACTTTTCTAAAGGCACACGGAAGCACAGCCTCAAAGAATGTACTTTTACCTGCAAAATGCTGATAAGCAGCCCTGCCGTCACCCAAGGAAGAGGATGTGTGTTAGGACACCTCCCTTGTGGCAACAGTAGTGGATAGATTGTGAGAATGAAATCCCAGTCCCCCGGTAAATCAGATCTGATCATAGCAATGAGAGCCCTATGCCACAAACCAAGAAACAGTTTTCATAGCAAATTACATCGCAGAAACTGTTAATCATACAGTGGCCTCTTCAATCACATCCACCCTTGCAGCTAGCATCATCACAGGCAGCATCTGAAGGACAATAAAATAAAAAATGCTCCATCAGCCCATTGTGAATAAAGGTGAAAAACCCATGCTGAGAGTTATGAGTACTCACACACAGAGCTAAAAACAGGAAAAGAGTCTTATCTATCAGAGTGTCTGATTAGAAATAGATATTTGAGGGAACATTCAGGGGAAAAATAGCATATTCTCCTTCTGAGAAGTGTTCTGCACATTTGCCCACAGACTCAAAAATAATAGAAAAGAGTGACCCTGATGTTACACAATTTACTTAGATTTTCAAATAGCTTTAGATAAGGCTTTAAGTCCTGGGGTGTTTTATACCCACACACAAAGGTCTCCTTAGCAGAAAGGCATCCAGACATTACGTTGAATCACATCAAACTTTCAAGAGCCATCCACAGAACAAACACCGAGTGCATAATAATATAAAGTCCAAGTTTAAACTTGTGCCATAAGTCTCAGCAGGAGAAAGGATACCAGAGGCAGGTTAAAGAAACATTCAATCATTGCCTAGAATCGCATATGCTGTCTCTTCCAGAATTCCTGCCAGTAGAGGAGACGTGGTAGGGCAAATGCTAATGAAATCCCAAGAGCTCCACCTTTCTCAGACTGAACTGTAGATGAGGGAGCATGTATTCTTTGTACTCTGAGACATCTCTCCTTTCTTCTTTCATTTTCCACAAAGGAAAGGCATGTTAGAGGACTGCATCTGTTTTTATGTACATATGAACAGTGATGTCTCAAGAAAATGAGCCAGTTTGCTCATTTTCAAGATGAAAAAAAATTATATATGTGTATATAACGTATATACACACAAATATACATATTATAGAAGCATATATGCTATATATGCACTTAAGTACTGTGTACACATACACTGTATAATCATAAAATGTAAACACATACATACACATAGACACTCAGATGCATGCATACATACAAGGGAGGGACCAAAAAAAACCCAGAATTTATTTATAAAAATTGTGTATTTATTTTTACATGTTTAAACTTCAGTCACCTTCAAAGTACTCTCCGTGTGATATAATATACCTATCACGACACTTTTTCCACTGCTCAAAACTGTTTTTGAACTCGTCCATTTTGATGCCTTTTAGTGCTTCTGCTGGTTTTGGTTTCACCACATCAGCAAAACATTTCCCTTTGAGGACTTTTTTCATCCAGGGAAATTTTTTTTTTTTTAAATCGCTTGGGGGAAAATCAGGTGAAGAGGGAGGATGGGGCATGGCAGCCATGCCATTTTTGGTCAAATACCGTTGAACACTCAGTGTGATGTGGGCAGTTGAGCTCGTAAATCACCCATCATGAAATGTATAAACGGGCTGGCAGAATCTCAAAAAAAAAAAAATTCACTGAAGTCAAATGTAGCCTCTCACAACAATGCTTACTGGTACACTGATGCCAATGGGTTCCTAGAACATTTACCTAGCAGGGGAAGCATGTACTACAAGAGGTCCGCCCTCCAAAAAATAATTCCTGTTTTTTTAGGGTACCTCCTCATAACACAGTATATAACTTTATTTAGACATACTTAACTTTTTTTGTTAGCACCTCTGCCCAATTTGAAGAAACAGATGGACTTTGTACATGTGAGCACATGTTTCTGGTTACAAGCATCCCATGGTAAATACCCTTCCATGATCAGAGAAGCATGTTCATCCAAGGCAAACAAAAAAACACAGTAAAATTCAGAGAGCGAGACTATTTCAAGTTACCTTTATTTCCTTGCTCTAAATTCAAGCAAAATGTACAATTTCGGAATTGAACAGCTGCTACTGAAAAAAATGATATGGAGTATATATATTTGTGTGTTTTGTATACTACTCAGGTGCTTTAATGATTAATAATATGAGAAAATGCAGCAAACTTATATAACTAAAACTCATCAAGCTAAAAACCCTAATCATAAGAATGCATGTTTTCATAACTCTTTAGAACATTCAAAACGGTCCCTGCCCCTCAGCTGTGGTCAGTGAGGAAGCAACACTGTACAGAAGACAGAATAACAGATGTGCAGCCAGTGGGCCTCGGCTGGGGTCCTACCTTGCCACTCAGCAGGTCTGGGGTATTGGAAATGAGGTTCCTCTTCTATAAAAGGCAGATAATCATAATCATACCTACTTCACTGAGTTGCTATGAGGCATAAATAAGAAAACATTCTGTGAATGCTAAAGCACTTTACAAATAATAAGGAGAAAAATATAGTCTACTCTACATGTGATGGAACAAGGTCATTTCACAGGAAAACTGAATGTGGTCATGTGACAAACAAACTTAGCATTCTGTGACATCCAAATTGGTGAATCACTGATCCTAGGTTGCTTCTCTTAAAACATAATTCCTCATTTTTATTATGTTATTAAGATCATATATTTAAAATACCTTTGAAACTACTTCGGATCTGTGTTTCTGCAATATTATGATGAACTATGTAATATATCTAAGACACTTTAAATATTACATTTAAACTGTGTAAATGAGAAAGGTTGTACAAATATATACATTTTTGTTCATTCTGTCAATTCATTAAATATCTACCATGTTCTCTATCCTGTGCCAGGATCCTGAGGAGATAGCAGAGAAGATGATGAGATTCCTGCCCTTGTGGAGTTTGTAGTCTCCTGGAGAAAAAAGACAATAATGTGTCAAACAGATAAGAAAAGGACAGAATGTATTAAGAGTGCTGTAGAATACAGCTAGAGGGGGTGAGATCAAGTATAACTGAAACTGGGGTGGGAGAGCAGGAGGAAGGCCATGTTAAAGCAGATGGTGAGAGGGGCCCTCAGAGATGACTTTTGCAGGAAGTCTGAAGGATGTGAGGCCAGACAAGTATAATTATAGAGGAAGAACGCTTCAGGCAAAACAGGACCAAGAGAAAGGCTGGAAAGGACACGTCGAAGACCAGTCTGGAGACTATCACAAGGAAAAGAAGATGGCCTTGGGCCACTTTGGCAGAGCCTGAGAACAGCAGACAGAGTAGAGATATTTTGGGAGTAAACTAACCAAGACTCACGATGGACCGGATGTGAGGAAAAAGAGAAAAGGATATAACTTTTAACCTGGGGTACCTGGGAGAATGTTTTGTAAGTAATAATTAGAAAAGGTGAGGTTATCCAGTGAGAGCGAGAAAAATCTAGGTATGATAGATGGCATGACAGAGGAGACTTTTTTTAAAATTTATTTTTAATTATAACAAAATATACATATATAAATTTTACTATCTTAACCATTTTAAGATGTACAATTTAGTACAGGCATTAATTACATTCACACTGTTGGGTAGCCTTCACCACCACCCATCTACAGAACTCCTTTCATACCCACTGAAACTTCAAAATTGAAACCTAGTACCCGTTAAACTCTAATTCCTGATTTCTCCTCCTCTTCCACAGCCTCCAGAAACCACCAATTTCTGTTTCCATGAACTTGGCTACTCTAGGCACCTCATATAAATGGAATCATTCATTCAGTATTTATCTTATTGCCACTGGCTTATTTCACTCAGCCTAATGTCCTCAAAGCTCTTCCATATTGTAGCATGAGTCAGAATTTCCTTTTGAAGGAGACATATATTTTTTATTTATTTTTATTTTTTAAAAGATGTGGAGCATGATTCGGGGTTAAGGATTATGCTGTACCTTCATTATGCAGGTTCCCTAGTTGATGAGCTGTGCCCCTCCTTCCCCGGCAGAATCCCATTACTGCCAATCCCTCCCCTGCCCCCAGGAATTTCCCACTACTGACAATCCTTTTCTTATAGTGTTAAAATAATTGTTCAAGGTCCACTTATGAGTGAGAACATGTGATACTCAGTTCTTTGTTTCTGTGATTGATCACTCAGTATTATAGACTCTAAGTCCATCCAAGTTGCTGTGAAGTTCACAACTTTCAGATATTTTTATGAAGAGGCCATAGAAAGAGGAATGGAACCCAAAACAAAGTCTATCTGGGCCTCACATCGAAAGGGGCAAAGAATAGATGTTTTCTCATGGGGTTATAATTAAAGTGGATGGGGAATAATACATAAGTCTTAGGGTCTGAAAAGGAGGGTTGAGAAGCACCTCTTCCCACAACAATTTCCCCAAGGCACATTGAACAAAGTGAAGATCATCCAAAGACTTTTTCCACATCAAGCATCTAAGGTTTCTCTGGGCCACTGGTGGGACCTTAGTGGAAATCAACATGCTTCAGTTCAGTCTCTCTTACTAAATATGTAGCCAGACCTAGACAACAGCAAAGGAAAAGAAAAATCAACTTTTATACAAGTTTTTTTCCCCAAAGGCTTTAACATAGCACTCTGTAATTTCCAAGCTTATATTTTCAATTCAATCATTTTCCAAGAAAATGGAGGTTATCAAAATGATTGTTATTATCCACAACATTTGGTAACAGAAAAACAACAGGGCCATGCCCCATGTTAGTTTCTATTGCCATACAGAATCAGCTCTCAAACAATTTCTATCACTTCTTTAATTCACCCGGGAGGAGTCTACTGACAACAGCTGTCCTCCACAAAATGGAAATCTTTAATCTCCAAATACTTGAACAAAGAAAAAAATTGCAGAAGACTTTGAAAAGGAAGCTAACAATTTAGATTTGAGTGACTGGGCCATCTATTTTTCTGATATTCTGATTTCCTAATCTCACAGAGGTCTTTAGCTCAGAAGAGAGCTTTCAGAAATGAGAAGGTGAGATTATGACATTATTTTTCAGCTAAGTATTAGTACAAGGTATTTTGTTAAGGTTTTTATTTGCTTACTCACAACAGGCATATTACATTTGATGCTACGTCTGCTGTAGATTGCAAAGAATTCTATGCCTTTATTCCTAACAGGTACTGAGCAAAAATAAAAGCAAAGCAACAACAATATAGAGTTCTTTATAATCTACAGAAGATATAACATCAAATGTAGCATAATTAAACTAAAATAAAATCAATACTCTTCATTAACATTCTACTTCACAAACTTAAGAATATTACCCATGAATATCTAATTGCAGTTTTCCCTCATGAAGTTCTATTTTGAAACCTCTGTCAAACTGAAATTGAGCTCCCTGATCACATTAGTGAGCAGAGTTATTTTAGGAATAAAAGATTCTTGTCTTAAATCATTAAGACATTGCCTTTATGGCACAGCATACTTTTAGCAACTGCTGGAATCACTGTGTCCCAGAAGTCAAAATGAATTGCAGGGTTCGACATCATTTTAGCAAAAGTCAAGGGTTGACAATACGGCAAAGGCTCAGAAACTCAAATTAATGTAAGAGAGGACTCTACAGAAAGTGCTATTTTGGGAATGTTTTATATGAGCAGCATGGTCTAGTCTCAAGAGGCGTGGACCAATAGTCACGAACTCTAAGTCTGATGTTCTGATTCCTTTGCCAACTAGTTATGTCATTACAGGAGTCCCTGAACTTTTTTAAGGCTGTCGTTTCTCACCTGAAAAAAATTTCTTCTCCTAACCCATAGGCTTATGGAGCAGAAAAACAAAATAGAGTAGATACGGGTACTTCAAGAAACAGAAATTGCTAAACCTAAAAGGTATTATTAAGTTAAAATAACCACCAGGTAAAATTCATCAAGTAAAAATCCTATGATAGCCTGCAGTTTAAAAAAAAAAAAAAAAAGGTGGGGGAGAGGGTGGAATGGATACATTGAAACAAATCAGGACAGAGGTGTGGCTATAAATTGAAAGGCTCTTTTTAGTCTAGAGAAACAGCTTTGAAGGGGCGGGGGTTCTAGCTGACTCCCAAACAAACTCAGTCTAAAAGATCTCATGAAGGTGGATTCTGTTTTAGGAACATTTTGGGCAGTCACAGAGTTCTGAAATGGAGGCAAGCATCTCCATCTTAGGATTAGCCTTCCAGAGCCTGGCATGCCTCCTGTTGCAGCTCCTAGGTGGAGATCTCCAACAAGAGCTCTGAGAAGGAGACCATCTGCAACTCCACCAGGGCAGGACTGGGAGAAGCCTGGAGCACAGCTAGATAACCAGGAAGCTTCCAGCTACTAAGCTCAAACAAGGCAGAAAAAAATCTATTTCCTCAGGAAAAGATTTGGAGGAAAGTTTTTCCAGTCATGGCTAACTATGATAATTGCATTTGACATTTTAAGAGCACAACAAAATAGCTAAAACATGTCAATGTAAATGACTCTTGGTAGGTAATATAAATGGGTACACATTCAGAGGCCAATTGCTCCTTTTTTTTGAGGAACTGTGCCTCCAAAGTTTCTCACGGTTGCAAGTTTAAAAAAAGTTTTATAATGCACCATGAATTTTGAGTAGGAATAATTTTTCTAATCTAGTATCCAATATCATAGAAAATAAAATTGCTAAATCCAATTATGTTGAGTAACTTATGTAATAAGACTAAATATTTCTCAACTACATGCAGAGTAAAATTTAACAACTTAAATTCAACCAGCCACCGCTGTTCACTAAATAACAAATGTATGTGATAATAGAACATTAATATTATTACCTTAAGCAGCAAGTTATTTTATGAAATTAAATATGTTGTGGTAAATTAACTCTCCATAGCACCATACCAGTGTAGTCATACATTCTTATTCCCTATACTTGTTTATAAATTATGCACATTACTAAAGGAAAAAGAGGAAGGAGGAAAGGAGGGAGGGAGAGAGTTAGGATTATATTTGTTACTTTGATATAATTGCTGTCTTTGATTGAAATCTCAGACTCGCCACTCAGTAACTATGAAAAAATTACTTAATGGCTTTAAGTCTCAGAGTCCTAATTCTCTGTAAAATAGAAATAGCAAAGGTACCTGCCTCATAGAACTGTGAGAACTAAATAAGTTACTCCATATAAAAGACTTGGCTCACTGCCAGGTACATACGAGTACTCAATCATTCTTATTGTTTATATATCAAACATTTGCTATAAAACAATCTCACTGTTTTCAATATCTTATTGATATCATTAAGAAGAGTTGAAAAGTTCAATAAATATTTATTAGCCCTTTCTTATATCTTTTGCTGTCTTTCTAGCAGAAATCCCTAAAGTCTTATTTAAAAAGTTACCTTTTTTTTTCAAAAGTAACAACAAAAACTTTTGTAATTGAGGTGGGAGACTTCTAACAATAATTCTCAGGATCAGAGAAGGGAGCAGGCATAATCTTCACTCTCCTCCTGGTAGGAAAAGCTGGCAAATATGGAGGAAGGCATCATGCTACGGGATCAGAGAGCAAAAGTGTAGCTTTAGGCATCTGGTCGGCTGGTTTGGAACCCTTGACTACTGCCCATGAAGGGAGTTTTGCGGGTTGCCTGTTTTTTTTAGGTGGTGTGTGGGGGGGTGTAGTTGGGAAATCATATCATTGCATCCTTAAACCAGAAAACAAAACATATAAACAGAAGTATGGAAGGTGAGAAAGAATAACACATAATAAATGACTGCTGTCCCTAACCTAATGGAAAAGATAGACACGTGACTATAATCTAAGACAGACTGAGATGAGTACCATTTTAGAGATGCCAGGAGTCCGGTGATAACATGCAAGATACTGACTTAGTAACAGGCTCTCATACACTGGCCCAAAGGAGAACAAGAGACCAGGAAGGCTCTTTGCAAGACTCTTAATTCCTTGTATGCAGGAACCACAT